AGGGCTGTTTGGTTAAAGAAGATGTGAGGTGTGTTAATATAACAACTAAGCAGACTCTACAGCACTAGGTCTCATTGTGAGTGAGCAGTTTGTCAATATCTTCAAGTCTCTAGTGAGCAACAAGAATGGCTCTCAGGATATTGCAACTCTGTCTGCTTCCACCAGAGATCATAATTGGGCTATGAATTTTTACAACAGGAAAGTCTTCCTGTCACAGAGACTGACAAAAAGTTTAGTTATATTAATGCCCCAAGAATCTCTTAACAGTATGAGTCGTGTACAGAGTTATCACTTAAATATGTAGTAACTTTACTTCTTTTTCTTTCTTTTTTATTCTTTTTAAAATAATTTTTTGAGATAGTTTACTAGTTAGAGCTTCTAAAATATAGCTTGTTTTTGAGGATTGCTCAACATACTGGTTTTCTGCCCAAAGACATGATGTGCACTTTGGGAAATTCAAGAAGCCGAGTGAGGTGAGTAGAGGTGATTGATAAATCGAAAGCAAATGATAGCAGAAGATGTGAACTAAAGCTATTTCTTGATCTGTGAAAAGCTAATTGGACACATTTCAGGCCAGGTCTCTGAAGGCACAGCTCATGAACTCTGTCTTCCTGATGCTGTGCTCATTAAGGGCACTCAATAGAGGACTGGCTAATGCTAGGGAAATCCCCATCAAGGTGACACTGAAGAATTACCTCAGGAAAGAGAGAGTAGAGAAGGAAAAGGTAAGGAGAGACTCCAGGGCACTAGCAGCTTACAGAGTCCTATTTGCCTTATCGGATTTATCTGAAACTGAAGGATTTATCTCTAAAGGCTACCCTGCTTCTCAAAATCTCAAGGGACTTTGGTCTTTCTCTAACATATCAGAGTTTAGCCAGCCAGGCCTTGTTATTGGTGGTTGTTAAAGTAAATTTGGGATTTGGGGGTCCTGGGTCTACTATTTGACATGGAAGACTGAATACAGCACATATGACTAAAATATTTCTGGAACATCCTGTGTTTGCCACTGATGCTTAAACATTTTCATGATTATCTTGAATATATTTATCTAAATTTCATCACCCGTCCTCAATTATTCATGTTAATAATTCTAGGTAAAATGAAATGTACTGAATTGGTATCTCACTTTTAAAGAATCAAATATCAGTGAAAGACATTGTAGATGTTCACAATATTTTATGCAAGAAAATTTTTGAGGGACTTTGGAAATTCCTATCAGTATGTTGAGGATGCAACATGGTAGGTTATATCTACATGGGAACCTGAAACTAGGATTTGAGTCCATGAAAATTTTCAGAAGGAAGTGATAAAATCTAAATCCTAGAAATCTTCCTGAATATGTTGCAAAGTTTAGAAATTTATAACCTAAAATAGAAGGAATTTTGCTGGTCAATCTCTAGGCCTTTTGCAGTTATGAGAGTCTGATTCCATTCCATAAAAACTAGGAAAACTTCTTTTACCATTGTATCAGGATTTTAAGTTGTATGGTATCCGTGAGTTAGTTCATCAAACATATGAGGAAAAGTACTCAAAAATATTCTGTTAATTTCTACAAAACTCTTTAAATCTTTAATTTTCAGAAATGATACACTGTAGAGAGATATTTAAGTTTCTGAATTTTAAAAGTATTATCAAGGCAAGAATTGTTACTATGCATTTATGTAAACTAGAGAGTGTGAGGGAAGTTTGGTGGATATTAAGTTAGTCACTTCATAAAGAATCCTTATCTATTGAATTTTTTGTACTTTTCTAAGCATTTAACTGACTCCTGCTAAAATTTAAACATATATAAGTAATTCATCATTTCAGATGATAGTCTTTTGATTTGTAAAATTAAGATCTCTCATAGAATTTTAGGGAAGGAAAGAATCTTGTTGGTCACCTGGTCTAAAATGTTTAATTTTGCCACATAAGGAAGCAGAGGCAGGAGCTAAGTGACTTCACTTTTGCCCATACCTCCATTCTGTGATGAAGCTAAGGCAGGAGCCCATTCTGCTGAGATGTAGGCTGGCACATTGTCCTCTTATCCACACTGCACTATGGTTATTTCTACTCGATTAGATATATTTTGCAGATGTTTGATTATAATTTTTTTAATGACAACTTATTATCAGAAGCCATATACAACTGAGCTGCGGACATTCTCTCTTAGAATGGAAGGTATTCCTTTACTTTTTTCTTCTTGGACATTAGCATTTTTTCTTCAATAAGAAATGAAGTAGAAAATCCTACATTGTAATTCCAGTGCATCACATTTCAAAAAGTAGTTTTTAAGCTGTAAGTTACATATGATTAAGTTTTAATTCATGTCCTTAACTTAGACCCCAACAGATATAAAATAACGCTTTCAGCTTAGACAAAATAACCCATGCAAAAAGATGGACTCAAATCAAAGAAACTTTCCTTTAAAAAGTGATATATATACACATATACACATTATACATGAAACGTATACAACTTACGTCTTTGTAACCACAAAGGAGATTTTATAATGAATACTGAAAAAGAATGCAAGTTGAACAGTTGACTTCAATCAAATAAATAAATAATCAAATAGGCTGAGAATAATTCCCTCTTGTCTATGCTTGTCCTGTGTCAACAGAAATCTTTGCACATAAACTTTCAAATCAACTGTCCAAAATGGAAACACATTCAAAGGATGAATGTACTAAAATGATAAGCAGAAGAGCAAAATATAAGGATAGAAACATTTTTGGAATAATGTAGACCCCTTTCTCCCTGGGGTGGTGGAAAAAAATGTGGGAAAATAGAGATTGCCATGTTTACTGGACAAAATACTCAATAGCTATTATACCAATGTTTCATTTTTTTAAAATATTTATTTGAGAGAGAGAGCTCCAGCAGGAAAGAGAGGGAGAAGCAGGCTCCCCACTGAGCAGGGAGCCCTACGCGGGGCTTGATCCCAGGACCCTGGGATCATGACCTGAGCCGAAGGCAGACCCTTAACCAACTGAGCCACCCAGAAGCCCCTCATGTTTCATTTTTAAAGATTTATTTATTTTATTTGGGGGGGGGCACAGGCACCCAGTGGGCCAGAGAGCAGTGGGAGGTTGGGGGTGGGGGAGGAGGGGCAGAGGGAGAAAGAGAATCTCAAGCAGACTCCCCACTAAGCCTCAATGGGCTAGGGCTTGATCTCAGGACCCTGAGATCATGACCTAAGCTGAAATCAAGAGTACCACACTTAATGACTCAGCCACCCAGGCAGCCCCCCAACCATGTTTCATTTTTAAAATTTGCTTTATATTTTTACAAATAGCAAAGTCATTCCTCTCAAAAAACATTTCCATTGGACCAACACTATTAGAAGTCACTCATAATATGCACTGGACTACTTATTTTTGAAAAGTAAGCTTTCATCACCCAAATCCCACCTTTTTGAAGAAAGAAAATCATATTTTTATTTTCTAATCTAATCAAACCTAGAGATCACCACTTTTTTTTTTTAAACATATTTTAAAGGAACTGTTGTCACAATATTTAGGACAAGTATGATGGACGACTCACTAACAGGCAGGAGCACAACTCCTATTATCCTAGGATAGACCCTGTCTAGGAAGTGGCCAGTTCATGGACTGAGTAACTCAGACAAGGGTCGGGGAGCCAGGCTTAGCCAATAAAAACAAACTCAAGGCTACTGGCCACCCTCCCCCATCCATATGCTTAATCCCTTCCCACTGGAACCTTGTCAGAACCCTGGTGCTAAGTGCAGTAACATCTGGATATTAACTCCCTCCAGCCTCTTCTCTGGTGAGCAATCTCCAAAAACCTGTGCCTGAGACTGGGAACTGCTTGTTGTCCATCTGTTTTGGGCAGGTCCTTTCTAGCAACAGGGAGAAGTAGTAATGCATCTAGATGAAACTGGTGGACTTTGTGTGTTATACCCACTCACAGAAATTCAACTTCCAAAGAGTTAAATTGACTCTTCGATTCATATCCCTGCTCCAGGCTCCCAGTACCCACAGTAGCAGGTACACTCCTTGCAGGCAGGGAATTTGGTAAGTTTGTCTAGGTATTTAGTCTCTTTTCCTTGCAATCCCTCCAAGCCTTGCAGTATGTTTGACACATGATAGGTGCTCAGAAAACTTTGAAGGGGAGAGGGTTGTGTTAAGCCAAGGGAAGGTTGTAGAAGGGACTTAAAATTTGAAGATTTTTCTACGTGTCCTAGAAAAAAGGATAAAACAAAGTGAGTAGTAGAATATCATCATTAGTTATTATTGTTTGTAATGCACCTTTCGGAATTCCACTGGCAGCTGGTCGGGGCGGGGGGGTGGGAATCCAGGCTGGAGGCTAAAGGATAAGGCCAACCGTTGCCACAGATCGAGAGACGCAGAGCCTCGGTCCATAACGTGGGACCAACACTTGGGTCCCGACAGGTGTTGGCAGCCCCAGTGGGCCTCTGGGCCCCTAGTCCCCAGCTGCCCCCTGCCTTTTCTGAGCGCTGGAGCATGCCCAGTGGCAGCGATCGAGCCACCGAGGGCTTTGCACGGGCGCGCTCCGCTTCTCCGGGTTTTAGCAGGAGCCCGCGGGGGGCGGGGGTGGGGGGAGCGAGGGGGCCCGCGGAGCCCAGCCGCCTTGGCCGCGCTTGTGAGGAGCTAGCGCGGCGCGCAGGGCGCTCTCCCGCGTTGCGGTTGCTCGGGAGATGCTGGAGCGGGGCGCCGGGCTGCTCCACCTGGCGCACTGAGCGCGGCGCGGGGAGCCCCCGGGGGCGGGCGGGGGGCGCGGACTGCGGTAGAATGCTAGCCGGGTTCCTCCGGCGCTGTGAGACGTCGCTCGAGCGCGGTCAGGTGCCTCTCGCTGCTCCACTAACTTGCCACTCGGTCGTGTTTGATCTCCGAGGTTCTCTACGCTTTGGGGCGGGGGGGGGGCGGGGGGAGTGGGGAGTTCGAGGGTCTGCGGTAGCCGAAGGAGGGATCTTGCAGGGGGAGCCTGCCTGGTGCCGCTCTTCTTCCCCTCCCTGTCGCTCCCCTCCCCCCACCCCGTCGCTGCCGCTGTCCCTTCTGCCAGTTCGGAGAGCGTCGGGCTCCTGTGACATGCGGTCGCTGCCAAGTGACGGTCCCCGAGTCTGAAGTGCCCGCGAGGAAGTGAGCGGCAGCGCGGGCCGCCGGCGATGACCGCCATGAAGCAGGAGCTGCAGACCACCCCGGGGGCCAGGGCGAGCCCGGCGCCGCCGGCGGACCAGGTGAGAGGTGGCGGCCGCGGCCAGGCCCTCCCGGGAAGGGTGGCTCCAGTCGGCGCTTCCCACGCCTCCCTCTCCCCACCCTCCCCGCCCCAGTTCCAGCCTCCTCCAGGGACTCCGCAGGAAGTTCGCGCAGCCGAGCGCGCTCTGGGGCCGGGCGAGAGGATGCGCAAGGTGGAGAGCCGCGGGGAAGGGGGGAGAGAGGTAAAGGCTGGGGGTGATCCGGGAGCCCCGGGCAGGCGGGCCACCGAGGGAGGGAGAGGGGCCGGGGCCACGGAATGGGGGCCTCTTGGCTCAAATTAACGCACGTTGGAGGAATTACTGCGCTCCTGGAGGCGTCTACTTGCAGGGTTAGAGCGGGTCTACACGCCGCTGAAACGAGCGAGCGCTGGCCAAAACTACCCCACTAGGAAAATGACCTTTAGGCCGGCAGAGTTTTTGCTTGCTTTTTTCTTTAGAGGAGACCGGGACGGGGCGGGGCGGGGCGGGGGGGGGTGCTAAATGGGGGAAGGAGGTGTACCCTGCATGTGTGGTCTGCTGAGTGGAGCGGAGCTTGGGACTAAAAGGCATTATTATGGGAAGCTGGCAAGGTACTGGCTTTAGTGATTTGTTGGGGCCAGATGTATGTGTCTGCAGAGATGGGGTGCCCTGTACCGGCTGAGGGTTATTTCTGTCCCTTTTCCGTTTTTCCGCACCGGCCACCCCTTTTTTTGTTTTGGTGTTTCGAGATTTGTAGCATAACCGTTCGGTGGATCTTCATCTCGTCTCTGTCCCTGGATTGGGGTGACTCGGGAGTTCGGTGTCGCTTTTTCCCAAAGTTGTAGGGTCGGGAGCGCTGAGGTGCCCTGGCAAAGAGGAGGCAGGCTGTGAGGAGCCGGCTCCAGGTGTTGTCACGTTTACATCAATCAGGGACTCTGAGCCGAGAGGGCAACAGTTAGGTCAGCGGATAACTACGGAAGCACCCGGGTACCCGCTGGGGGCCCTTTGCCCCAAGTGCACTGTTGAAGGCCGCCCGATGCGTTTCTGCCAGAGACACTCCTAGCTCATTGCCAGAGGTAGGGTGAAGGAGGTGCAAGCAGCGAGGTTCCAGTAGCGTCTCCGCTTTTCGCATAGTCTGAGCACTGAGGAGCAAGTGAAGAGAAGCTGTCCAAATCGCCCGAGTGGTGCTGAGGCGGAGGAGGAGATGCCAGGGCTGCTGTTATTAATATTCTAGTCTTGGTCATCCGTCCTGGCTTGTGGTCTCCCTCTTCTCCTCTTCCCTTTCCTCCTCATTTCCCTCACGGACGTTTCACACAGGTGGTGAGGATTGCTCAATGCCTTAAAGCTCCCCCTCCATTTACTGGAGTGAATGTTGCAGTTTTTACAAAGCAGTTGTTTTCTTAAACTAGTCGCTTTACTCCTTACCCTAAGATCAATATGAAAATATTGAAACATTTTTATTGTATTGTCTGTCCCCTCTCTTAACATCTTTTTCCTCTGCTCCCTCCAACACACACCACAAGGTAGCAACTGGTTAGCAGATCATAAAAATAATTTTAGGAGAGGAGCCTGGATTTAACATCCTCTTTCAAGCTGACAGCCCTTAAATTTCATTAACAAGCCGCCGAGGCTCCTTACTGCTCTTGGAGTGATGCTTCCAATAAGAATGATTAGTCAGGTGAGAGTCCCCACATGAAATCTTTGCTCACTACCCTGTGACACCAGCTGGTTACTTGAGGTGCTGCAAACTGCTTGGTACCAGTGGGGTGTGGGGAGGGAGAAGCAGAGCAGACCACACGGAAACTGAAAATGTATATGTAAACAGTGGACAAATATGCACAGTAAAGCCTTTTGTCAGGACTAAGCCGGTACTTAAAATTCATCCGAAGAGAGAGAGTCAAGCTTAAATCCCGTTTTTCTTGTGGACGTTCATTTTGGTTTATGGCCACTTCAGATATTCAGGGAGTGGCCGTTTGCAGAACTCTTGTTTTAATTGAGTTTTTTAAGTGCCTTTCAGAATATTTACATGATTTTAAAATGTCAATGGTATGCATGTTATGCTTGAGTTAAAATGAAAGAGATTGATTTTGCTAGGGGAAGGAAAGCAGAATGAAATATCCATGGCAGCATCCCATTGAAGGTTTTCCAAGCACTCCTAGAAAATATCTTTATCTAGCATATTCTTTGTCTGAAGCTTGACCTATGAAATGATGACCAGATAATGTGGATGATTGCTGTGATTGCTTAAACTACTTGCTCTAAGAGTGCTAAGTTTTTATTAACAGGATTAGTCATTGTGGTCTGATGCTGCACTTGTCATATAACTCTCATGTGGTACTAGCTATAACACTCCCAAATAGACACAAATGATCTGGTTTCTATATTTCTTTAAAAAAAAAGATTCACAAATTTAAATAAAAATATAGCTTTATGAAGTCCTACTTAATGGTTAAAGAGGGGGCATATTCCAGCTAATCACTCACTGTGTATTGATTTTGAGTGATTTAAGCTTTCAAACGTTGCCAGAAAGGTCTTTGGCTTTTCATAGTAGAGATTTTTATGAAATCTCAAAAACGCCTTGTCCTGCAGCCATCAACACCTATTTCCACTTAGAGCACAGTGGAAGACTGTGGTCTTTCCTCTGGGTGAAATGGTTATGAATCCTATAATCTGGTGGTTGTTAGGGTCCTTTAGCGAGCTTGACACCCTCCCCCCCCAGGTTTCATTTCATCTGTGACTCTCCTTTGGGACATTGGTGCCACGACAAGAGTGAGAAGCGGCAACAAGAATAACAGGGACTCTGTGCTTTTATTAACATTCTGAATCATTGGAAGTATTTTTTTTTATCATTTTAGTAGTCTTTCCTTTAAAGCTTCATTGATTAAATGTTTATGAAAGTTGTTTTGTTGTTTTCACGATGCTCCACATTTACAAAATATCTAGATAGATGATTTGATATGGGTAGATACCGTCATTCTGAATATAATCAATATCCCACTTGACATTGAGGGATCTAAAATCTTGAGTGACAAGTTGTAACTTACTGTTTTTAAAAATTACTTCTTGAATGCTTGCCATGTGCAGAGTACTGCCCTCTGGACTGATAACATTTATTAAATGCATTTTTCTGCTTGATGCTCAAAGAAACTTTTTGAGTTTGGTCAATCCTCTGTTCATACAGAGGATTAAAGAAACTAATCAAACTTGTCTTCATAAGTGGTGGAGATGGGACTTAACCCCAGTCTGTGTTACCTAAGATAAAATATGGTTACTGAATTCTAAATCCCCACCTTCTAACTTCTACCCAGTTACAGTTCAACACATTGTTATTAGCATAATGCAAAATAATTGCAAATATTTTGTGTGTGCAGATTTACTTTGAATGTAAAATGGACGAATTTGTTTAAAGCTTCGATTTTAAATGTAAATAATAGCTCTTGAGATTTTTAAAGTTGACTTAATATCTCTCCCATTGATGGAAATAATATAAAAAGAGCCAGGTAGGTCCTGATAAGTACATAGGAACTTAAAAAAAAACATCTTGGTAATGATGGGACTTTCATTAATGAGTGCATTTTTATAGTTAGACCAGGTTTAGAATTTGCCCACATTGCCACCAGGTGGCACCCTTCTGCTGAATCCAATGGGTAAAAATATTTCCTAAAATGTTTGGTGGTCCTCTCAGCTCCAAGAAACCAAACCAAAACAAACTAAAACACACAACAACAACAAAGCCCAAACAAAACAAAACAAAAAACTAGGCAAACAAAAGAAAAACCACAACCCTACTTTCTGAGGTATGACTAAAAAATATATTTTTATAAGCAAAAATTTGGCAGCAAAGACATCATTAGTTATGCATTTCTCTCTAAAAAACATATTCTGGTGGAAAACCAATTTCTTAGGGTTCAGGATGCAGCAGTCTCTTGATGAAATAATTCATGGTCAAAACTGCAATTAAATATGCAATGTGCAAAATGCCTTTTGTAAAATATCTATTGTACTTTTCACTTTTAGGTAATATTAACCCAAAATGTTACCATACAGAAATTAGGATTTATTCTTTTTATTTCAAGTTTGTTGAGGCAAACTTGATTAAAATTTTCAAGTGCATTCTTAATGCAAACTTATCAAAAGTTATTCTTCCATGTTTCCCTGACAAATATAAAAAGATGTCATAATTTAGTCTATAAACTATTGTTTTTAACATAGAACCTTAAAAGTAGTTTTAGAAATCATGTTGAAAAAATATTTAACAGGCCAGTTATTACTCTTCATTCAATATAACATATATAGTATCTAATTGATGGGAGAGTTCTTTGTGGTTTGGTTTACAAAAGATAATTTAGATTGGGTAAAGGAGTTACATAGAAGTCTTTATGACTTAAGAGATATTATACATTTTCTACTATCCCTTAATTTCTTATTACATATATAATGTATATCTCATAACGTGTATATGACGTTTTAGCTACTGAGTTTAGAACATACCACGATACATCCCTTGCTTGTAAACTCCTAATCTCTCTGTTTATTTCAGGGACTGAGCAAATTGCACATTTAAGAAAAATTAAACTATATAAAAACAAATTAAAGAAAATTATATTATTAAATATTAATGCTGCATTATCTTATGAAGTACATTACATTAGAAGCAGAACACTGAAACCAAATTTTTCCTGAGTAAAAAAGAAAGCTATTTAAAAATTTTGGTTCATTGAATCATTTATGATTACATAATGTTACTATTATCTGTGGATTATGCTCCGGAAACCACAGATTCAAGTTCATATTCCAGCTCCACCAGTCATCACTGCTTTCTTGGGCAGGATAACTTACTTTCTATAGTTCATTTGTGAATGGAAGTGACTACAGATCCTTTACATGTTTGTTGTAAGAATTAACTGAAATAATATGTGAAGGCTTTTGAATAAAGCCTGTCTCATATCAAGTGTGCTCTCATTCCCTAGTCTGGGAATAGGAACCTAGAAAAAGCGGGGGAGGGGGGCAGGGGGGAAGGGGAA